CCAGAAACGTCTGTCTTGCTCACTTATTTTCAAATCTGTTGACCTAGACCCACCCACCCTACCCTCTGTAAGTAGAGGGACTCTGGCCTAGAATCAGAGTTAATTAGTAAGCGGTGATAACTAAAGACTCAGTCCCTTTTATGATATCAAGTATTTGTCCTTGATTTCTACTTGTCTTTCTCTTTAGCACCACTAGTCTTATAGTTTGGCCTCTGTGTATAGACATCTGGAGAGGTTTTGTGTGTGTGTGTATGTGTGTGTGTGTAAGAGAGAGAGATGGAGAGCAAGACAGAGACACACACAGAGACAGAGAGACACAGAGAGAAATGTCTAGCTATTAGGGAAAATAAGGAAATAAAGTTGTATATAGAGAAGTATAATACAGCTCACTGAATTTGGAGTCAGGAAAACTGAACATTAAACCATCTCAGTAGAAGGGGGAGATAGAAAAATCAAATTGTCCCTCTAATTCTTATTTTCCTAATCTAAAAAGCAGCATAAAGACTGTACCAATTATAATCTGGTCCTGAAGATGAAGAAACATATTAAGATATAGTAAACTGTTGTAAATAAAAGGATGTCATCAATCATAATAATACTGTACATGTTCCCTCATTTCACTTCCTGTTGCTCCTGTCTAGAGAGTTACTTCTTCCTCTTCTCAGGGATGGTGTCTTATTTTCTGATTGTTTTCCTGTGTAGGACAAATTACTTCCCTCTGGCTGTCTTGAACCATAGAGCAATCAGGTCAAGCTCTGAGCAACCCAAAGTGTGAATCAGCCTTTCAATTTCTGTTGTCACTGCCTTCTCAATGGGATTCAGGCAATGACCACCTCAGAACAGACTTCAAATGTGAAGCTTAGTTATGTGAAATAGGCCTCCCTGGGCACTCACAAGATCCCAATGGAGGAAATTAGATTGAGAAATAGGAATGAAGTAGTTAAATGCTTCCGATTTGGGTTTTCCCAGTGTTTAGACATTAAGACCACCATTTAAATAATAAATAAATGAATGCGGAGCACCTCAGTTTCTTTGAAAGTCTTATGCTCCAATCATATAATTTTAAAACTAAAGACTCAATCTCTTCCATGCAAATAGTGTTCAGTGTGTCTGACAGCATGAAAATAAACCAAAGCCTTGTCCCCATGGAAGCAGCCAAAATAGGGCACTCAATAAAGCAGAGAGAGAAACCTATTAGATGTCCTTCTAAGGTTTGATTACTTGAGTTACCTAAGTCCAGAGCCTGGAAGAGAGGTCTTAATCAGAGACAAAGGCCAGTGTGTGTCCCTGAAACATGCAAGTGTGTGATCTTCTAAGAGTGGGTAGAGGAGGAAAGTGCAGAGTTCACATGGAGGTTTGAAGGACGCCAGCATTCAGTGACCAGATGGAGAAAAATAAACTTGGCAGGAGAGATAGGAAGGAAACTAGAAGGATATGAATCATGGAAATGCAATGAAGATTTTTCTTCAAAGCAATCATTTCAAGTAGTAGTTATAATCATTAAAGCAAGAAAACTAAAGCTATTCATTAGGAGTAGCCACATTCATGAATTTAGTGAAGCCTCTTTGGGTAGCGATGGGGAATTCAACCAAAAGTGAGGGAGGGAGGCAGGGGTGAGAAAGCGAAGTAGTCTGGCTAGGAAAGTGATTATAAGGACCAAAGAGGGAGATTGGAAGCTAGACATTAAAATAAAAAAATACGTGTTTGCTCTGAGTCTCCAAGTTTTTCCCTTTCTTCTCTTCCTATAGATTCTGGGCTTCAGCAAAACACATGGGTGCTGATCTCAGGCTGTCCCAGAAGTACATTAAGAGAATCCATGCAGGTTCTAGAAAACCTCACACTAAGCAAATCCTCTCAAGGAATAAGTGCTTGGGGTGCTGTTGGAAGGGTTCCCGGGGGTCAAAATAACATTTGACAACCAAATAAGGGTTTTATCTTCACTAACCAAAGCACAGCTCTAGGAAATATCTCCACATGAATAAATGAGGTTTCTGCTAATACAGTCAGCTTTTAAAAGTAACAAATCCAATGCTTTATTTGGCAAGCAATAGTGACGGTTCTGTTGTCCTAAGTGATCTGTCTCATTAACTGAAGCAGTCTACTTTCTGAGCCTTAACTCACTTAATGCTACCACTTGGATAAACATAAACTGCCTGCAACATGTATATTCTTTATGATTCCCCAAACCCTGCTTCTCTATTGCTTCTTTCGTTTTTATTGAGTGAGTTTTATGGTGGTAAAAGGTTGCAAACTGAAACTTGTCACTTTCTATTGGCAATAATTTAGCATCTAATGGGCAAAACTCCTAAGCCTCAGAGGACTGGAGTAGCACAGGAGCATTCCTCAGCTGGGGTACAAAGAGGGTCAACAGTGAAAGAGATTGACTGTAACTGCGATGTGGAAATCAGGCTATGACTGTACAAACATCTTCTTCAAAGCTCTGTTTAGAAATCTGAAGAGTTGAAATAAAAATAATTACTGAAGTTTCAAAAATCTTTCAAGTTGTAGAGGAAGACTTTTAGCTTGGACACATTGGTCACCTTTCTAAGCATTATGTCCATGCTACGGTTTAGCTCTAAAGTGTCCCCACAAAAGTCTGTATGAGAGGTGACTGGGTCACAGGGACACCATGTTCATCACTGTATTTACCCACTTGTGAGCGGAGTAGGCAAATGTGCGGTCAGGAGCAGTCATTTGGTTGGAGAGGGGCCACTGGAGTGTCCTGTACTCCAGTCACCATACTGCCATGGACTGAGTACTTTTCTTCAATCCCAGGCCCCTCTCCCATCCTATTTCTGCTTTGAAACCAGCTGACTATGGACTGAAACTGTGAGCCAAAATAAATCTGAAGTTGCTGCTGTCAGGAACCGGGGCTCAGTAACAGGGAAGTGGCTAAGATTATTCAACTAGCAATAAGGATCCTTCCATGGGTAGCTCCAAGTCAACTATGTGATTCGGTAGATAATGTCCTCTGAGGGTCCCCATATGTAAAATAAGGAGATGGAACTAGATGAGTGGTTTAATCCAATCCTGAGTGAACAGCATATTTGTCTGTTCCTGGAAACATCTTCAGGGAGGCTACTTCTTCAATCTCAATAGTTTCCACCAGGAAAATCAAAATCTACATTTGATCTTGGCCAAAAGGCCAAAAAGCGATAGGGAAATCAAAATCTAAATAACCCTTTGGAGCTATTATCCTAAAAACCAGTATGCAAGAAGGAAGGATCAAGTAAGAGGATGAGTGAGTGGTCCTGTTTGTGTGGAATTACGAAACACTGTGAGGTACAAGAATATGTGAGATCATATCAGCCACTATCTCTCACAGGCCTCCCTGGCTTAGGACCGGCTATGTTAAGTGTGTTGCACCAATGCCGATGAAAGAATTGAACCCTAACATTCTTGATGCAGCTAACTTCTTGATCTTCATTTTCTATTTTCACTTCCCAACATATAGCATGCTCTGAATATACAGTATACTTCCAATGACAGAACACACATCGATTTTACTGGTTAATTGCTATTATGTGAATATTCATGAGCACAGTGTGCTTTTATGTTTCGCTTTATTTTAAAATAAGGATCTCAGGGATTAAAGAATGCATTTGAGGATAGAAATGCAACTTCCTAATGCAATACATATCTTCTACACTGGAAGTCTTTATATTCAAATTTTTTCTGGTAGTGACACCAGTGTATTGAATTATTGCCTAATATTTATATGATTTATTTTTTCTCAGTAAACTTTTATTAAGTGTATCTCTTTTTTTTTTTTTTTTGGTACTGGGGATGGAACTCGGGTCCTTGATCTTGCGCAGCAGGCGGCAAAACCACTGAGCTAAATCCCCAGCCCAAGTGTATCTCTTTTTTATGAATATGTAGAAATTATTTTGAAATCTTTGATGCATTTTAGTGTGCAAGTAAAATCCACTTACATTTAAAAAATTACTATTGCATTTGTATTTCTACTTTACTATTTTGCTTTAAATCTTTCCTTTTTCCCTTCTTTCCTTCTGGCCTCATTCTGTAGTCTTTATTTTCTTATTTTCTTCTTGTTTTATGATACATAAAGTATTTTTCACAATTTTTCAAATGTTAGGTTTTTTTCTATTGCCTGTTCACTATTTTTTCTTCTTTTATGCATTAGACAATTTAAAAAAATAAGCACATATTCTTTTCTAGCCTTTTATTTTTCTTTTTATTTATAAGATATGTACTTGGTTATATTTCAAGTTTTAGTTTATCCTGTTTTAAATCTCATTTTCTATAGAGTTATATTTTTTAGTGGCTGATGCATGAATTCGTGTGTCTCTTTAAAGAAGTTTTGTAGCTTTTTTTCTACAACAAATTTAGAAGTGACTGGATGTAGATAAGTTTTTTTTTATATTTCAAAAATGAAATTCATGTATGTCTCTTCAAATTTTGAGTCACAAATCACATGTGGTCTAGGCCTGGATAGGGATTTTTCAATGTGTTTGTCTAAAGATTTTTTTCATATCTAAATACAATAACAACTATGGACTATTTCAAATTCTATTAAGATAGGAATCATTTCATCACCTTACCAAAGACAGAAGATGGATGTTAGAAGGAAACAAGCCTACTCCTTTAAAAGAAATTTAAATTAGTTTAGTCTTATTTTGGTTAATTTCTTCTTATTCTATGTTTCAAAATGTGTACATATGCAATCAAGACATCAGTTGAAACTACTTACTTAGCATATACTAATGAATGAAAATAAAAGTGATTAATTCATTGCGATTTGAAGTAAAATTTAATGTTCACATCTTTTAATCCAACAGAATTATGAAAAGATACAAATGTAAGAATGTTCATCACAGCACATGATATTACAAATTTTGGAAAATTGTCAACTTCAAAAATGTTCAACAGCAAATAATTGATTAAATTATAATTTACCTGTACAATGCAATATGACAGTTATTTAAATGATGTTATATAAATCTACATATTTAGAAATAGTTTCATATTTAATTGCCTTAAGAAATTGCAAACATTATTGTATCAGCCCATTTTGAAAAAAAAATTAAATACATAGAAAAATATAGAGAATATTATAAATCAACATGATATCTTATTTTTATAAGGTACATCTATGAATAATTTTTATTTTCTTTATGCTTATCTTGAGCCTTACATTTCCTCTAAAATATGTGCTTATTATGCAATAAAATATTGTAAATGAATAAAGTAGACATTAGTGAAGATTTTGAATGTTCAAAATATTTTCCTAAGTCAGGTTTTGCTGGAATGACTACTTACTCTTATGAAACCTAGTACCTTATAATGAGTTTATTTTCCAACACCAAACCAATCAGTCAAGCTAATATCTGGCTTTTAGAATGAAAATGTGATCATCTGAATAATTCATCATTTGTGCTTTGTGCTTCTGTGCCAGTATCAGGTTCCCACCCAGGTGCTGACCACGTCAGAAGGAAAACGGGCAACGTCTTCCTTGGAGGCATGGACGTCCTTCCTGCCCCCAGGAATTGCTCACTCTCTTTCTGGTCCCTCCTCCTCTCACAGAGGTGCTGACGGGCTCCTCCTGTGAGGCTCTGGCCGCAGAAAATGTTCTCCCGTGCGTTCCGTCCTCAAATGGGACCTGGTCACGGGGAGAAAATATGACTTGCTGAACAACGAAGTGCCCAGAGAGGGGCTTCTTGCCCAAACGGACACTGCTTGGCCTCAGAGCCCTGAGACTGCCTGCTTGTCTTTTGTGTTTGGTTTTGATGAGCACGTGTTTGCAATACATGCCATTTATAGTCACCTGAAGAAGTGGATTCCCACACATCATACAACTTGTTTCTGGTTTTGGCCCCGTCCCCTTCCTTTCCCTTCCCTTTCTCCTCTACTTTCCCTTTCCCCATTTTCATTCTTCTTGGTATTATTAACCTTTTAAACTTTGTGTGGCTGTAGGTGAAGTACTGACTTAGACTCATAACTGAGCCTACACTAACTAATGTGGAGACCCTAAGTACTGCATGCTAAATAAATGACATAAAACATGCCTATGAGTTAACTCTCTAATGCACAAATCTCTGCACTTAATCAATTTGCGCTGGATTTTATTGTGTGGTGTTGAATTGAACTGATCTGAGAATGCTAAATTCCTTGAATGAATCCATAGATTAACATTGCAAAGAATCATTTTATAATGGTGAAAATGCTGAGAACATAAGAGATTCTTTCTCCTCATCCCCAATCATGCTTTCTTATCTTCTATCTTATAATTCCCCTATATTCAAGTTAGATAATATGTGTACTAAGGTACTTATTTCTCCTATTTCTGAACTTTAGCTTAGGCCACTTATTCTACTCCCAATGCCTTTCCTTACAACATTGTTTATTTAGATTCTCTCCTGTTGAATGTTGCCTCAAAGAAACATTGCTTAATTATTGTGTGTTATGGCTTGTATCTAGCTGTCCTCCCAAAGCCTCATGTGCTCACAGGTGTAGCTTTTCAGAGCTGGCTGGATCTAGGGTGTGTGGCACTAAATTAGTCCACTGAGTGGAATTGTATAGTTCTGGGAGTGGCTGACTGGATTTACTGAAAACAGAAGCCCTGCTCTGGGCATGGGTGGCACCACCCACAAGACTTATAGCCTGGATGGGATAAAAGGGAAAGACAGGCTGGTGGCTGCTGCTGCTTGCTGTTTTGCTTTCTACTGCCTCCTTTGCCATGGACTGTTTCTCCTGTGTGATACCTCACTGCCATGCCGCCCTGCCTTGGACCCAGCTGATTATGGACAGAAACCTCTACAAACTGTGAGCCAAAATAAACATCTCCTCCTTTAACTTTGGGTGTCAAGTAGTTTTTCCCAACAAGGAGACAAAATACCATGCTTCCCACCTACAGGCAAAATCATTTTAGAGAAAAAGCACATTTTCTTCCTCTGTTGATACTAATCCATTGGAGCTCAAGGATTGTGTCAGTGACATCTCTGTGAACTTTGTCTCTTTTCTCTTACAATGACTGGTGCAATTCTCAACAAAAATCAATAATTAAATACACATTGATTAAATGAAATATTTATGTATTAATGAATTAATTTATTGCCATGGTGCATGTTTTACTCCACTCATATGACAATATTCGCATGCTGTAGGGTATTCATTCCAAGCCTTTTTTTTCTTTGTATTGAACAGCAAATATATTGAAGAAAACCTGTACCTTGGGCATATTTATAAATTATTTTTTTTCTACTTCTGTGCATGAAGCTGAAATACTAGCATTATCCACTCATATTTGTTGAATAAATCTTGTCACAACTCGACATCTTCTCATCCTTCCATGCATTCATCTGTTCACTCTTTATTCTTTTCCTTTGGGTGCCTCCTTTGTGCCAGCCATCAATTCATTCACTGTGTATCCAAAGCAACCAGCCCAGCCCTATTCAGAATCAATTGTGTGTGTGTATTTATACATGTGAGTATGCATATCTGTGTGTGTTTGTACATGTGAGTATGCATATCTGTGTGTTTGTACATGTGAGTATGCATGTTTCTGTGTGTGTTTGTACATGTGAATATGCATATCTGTGTGTATTTGTACATGTGAGTATGCATGTTTCTGTGTGTGTTTCTACATGTGAGTATGCATATTTGTGTAGACTCATAGAGGGGCTTCTTGCCTGGAAACGGTGAGAGCAAAAGGTGTTGTGTTTTCCTTTAAGGAAGAAGAGTGTTCATACTCTGTCTCCCTAAAATGATGACAATAATGAATGTAGGCAGAGAGCATGATTGTAGCTTCAAGCAGAATGAGCTAGACTGAACCTAGACTCACACTTAAGTCTCCTGAGCAAACACCCAAGTAAAGGGATCGAAAGCTCAGCCTGAAGATCTGAAGAAGCTAGTGAGCCTGAGGGCCATGTGAGGGCAGGGAGTCTACTTGGGAAATTCTGAGAGCAGACATCCAGGACTGGCACTACTCAGAAGTAAAGGAAATCAGGCACCAGTGTAGGAGAAAACAGTTGCTGGGCCACGGCCTGCACTGTAGGGAACAAAATGAAAGAACCAAAAACTGTATTTGAAGAAAGAGAGACACAGGAAGTTATCATGATGTAAAAAATTCATATGCACTGGATAAAATGAACAGAGAAGAGAAGTTGGATTGGTTGGCAGTATGAAGTAAAACTACCCATCAAGATTTAACAAGGAAGATGCCAATATTAAGATTATATAATGCCAGGTCATTGCAAAATCTTCAAGATTTTAAATATGACAATAGGAAATAATAGAACAGACACCATTATCAGTAGCAAAATATTAAACAATGTTTTGCTGAATTGTGGAAAACAAAAAGGACATCCTCTGTACCTACAAACATTTTGACATCACCTAACTATGCTTTAATCTTTCCAATGAGATAAGTACAAATACATATATAAAATAATTGGAAGTATCTTTTAATCTGTCAGTTTTCTCAAGGGCTACATACTTGGAATGTCTAAAATAAACCTACAGAAAAATAAATCTAATAAATAGATTTAGCACGGCACTAAGGTCTATACATAAAAGTAAGTTTTACTTCCACAAACCAGAACAACAATAAAAAAGAAACTTTAGAAGTCTATGCCAAGTAAATGGCATCAAACAATATCAAATACATGCAACTAAATCTTTAAAAAGTCCAATACTACACAAAAATCACAAATGCTATCGATGTCAAATGTTTACATTTATGTAAATATAGTAATTTATCTTTTACTTAGTTTGGGAGAATCGATATTGTGAAAATACGTCACTTTTTTCTCAAGCACTGTAGAAAATCAATACAATAACAATCTAGAGCAGAATGGGGTATTTTGATTTTCAGACATTGATTATAAAATATATGTGAAACTCAAAGTATCAAAAAAGAGTCAAGCCAAGTTTTAGAAAGAATGAAGTTCTTGGAGAACTTAGGCTACCAGATAAAAAAATTGTTAATAAATTACTTTAACAGAGGTGTCATGGAATTGGTACAAAGATTGACTTATTGGACTGATCGTTCAACACAATAGAAAGATGAACAATGTACCCACACTTACATTGCATTATAAAGATGACACTCCATACAAATTGGAACCCTGGCACAAAAGCCAGTCGTTTTCTTGTAGCAGCCGTAAGTGGATCCTGAAATATAAAAAAAGTATCATTGATATTGTCACCCACCAAAAAGTACTTAGGTATAAATCTAATAAAATAGGTGACTGCCACATATATAATGAGAAGAGCTACACCACTACTCCATGAGCTAAATTAAATAATTAAATGGGGAAATATGCTATGAATAGGAAGACACAATTTTATCTTCCCAACCTAACCTATAGATTCAATGGACTCATAATCAAACTCCCAGCAAGTAGTTTTGTGGATATTGCCAAACTTATTCTAAGCTTATAGAATGAGCCAAAACATTAAGAATGGCCAACACAGTACTGAAGAGAAGAAAAAATTCAGGAACTATCCTCCTTAAAAAATTACTGCAAAGCTACAGTAATCAAGGAAGCATGGTTTTACAAAAGAGAAGATGAACACATCAATGGGACAGAAGAAAGAGTCCAAACCCAGGTCCACATGAATACAGTCAACTGATCTTTGATGAAGGAACAATGGCAATTCATGGAACAAACCATCCTAAAACAGCCATATCTGTCACTCCACTGGTCACAGAAATTTCCTACTCAGAGTGGATCTTTTCCAGTAGAATGATTGGATACAGCTAGCCTGCCAAGAATTAGGTAACAGCAGAATCTGGGAGCGTGAAAGACCTGAAGTTTCCTGAGGGAGCAAACGACCTCCATGATAGCTAAGGACATACAGCAAATCACTCAGAACATGGAAAGTGGTTGAGCAATCATGAGTTATGATTAAGGAGTTAGTGAACAATGAGGTCAGGTTAAGGAGAGTGGGATTATAGAAGGTATTGGTGTATTTGCACTTTCCGATGGAGAATTTGAGGAATACCATTTTGGTCTGCAATAAAACTTGACAACTGACAGATTAAAAGAATTTGAATAATAGCACCTGATTTCTGAAGTCCCTTGGATGTCATTAGCCCATGACCCACCCTGAGATGTAATTGACTCACATTGAGGAAAATACATTGCATTTATTCAAATACTTTATTCTAATTCAGGTATGCTGCATTAAAAGTTCTCTAGAATTTTTCAGGAAAAATCAAATAATTGAGAGTTTCTTTGCCAAACATTCTATGAATTTATGCACCTTGGTTTTAACACTGATCTCTCTTCAGATAATATTTAAGTTTGCGACTGGACTCCACAGCCAACAGGGCTGCCATGCAGGATGTCTGGCAGGGGATCAGCTTGGGGTTTTCTGCCCACAACTCACAGTGCAGGCCGATGTAGAAGCTCAGCCTCAGGCAGGGCCCATGCTTTTTATTTATTTTTATTCATTAAGTTAATGGCACACTTTAGGTTTACATTATGAGCCTATTCCTTAGTGGGAATTTGTACCTGTACATGCTATATCCTAGTTCTTGTTTTTTCCCACTTCCCTTCCCTCCCTCCATCCCCTCCACCCCTGCTTTTCGACAACGCTAAAGAAATGGTTCTGGCCTCAGAAAATATGACAGAATCAGAAATTCTCTCCCCTCACCTCTCTCCCTTTTTATCCCCCACCCTTCTTCACTCCTTTCTTTTCTCTTTCCTTTGTATCATCTGATGCTCTCTGCTTTCTGTACCTGGTCTGTCTCGAGTAAATCCTTCACCTACTGTTCATGTGCTATAGATCTCCTGAATTCATTCAGCCTATGGTCTCTCAGCTTCTCTTCCTGCTGAGAATGTCTCTACTTCATTACTCACTTCAAACTTCAAAGGTTGGTTAAATCTCCTTGTCCATCAGGGATTCTTTCCTGTTTTCCTGCTGACATAGACCTCTCCATCTCTCCCAAACCCGTTTCTGAGAATCTGTCCTAATCCTGATAACTCACCATTGCTCAGGGAATATGCTCTTTGAAACATGCGTCTGTGGAAATGCGGATCACGCTTATCCAGAGAAAAGTAAGTGGTATTCAGTGCTTGCAGAGCTGGGAAGGGACTTGCTTACTGATGGCCCAGAGACAAATGCAAAATAAAAAACAGACAGATTCGCAAACAGATGTCTTTTGTGGCTTCTCTCCTGTTCCTTTCCATATTTTCTCTCCACACCTTCTCAGTTAAAACTTGTCCACTCATTCTTTCTTGGGATATCTGTTTTGCTTGTTTGTTTCATTATTTCACTTTTAAATCATCTGACAAGTGGTCACATTCTTTTTATCCATGTATTCTGTGAAAGAGCACCATGATTTCTCCTCTCTCTCTCTCCCTCTTTTCTTGTCCTCTTCTTTTCATGACCACCCACGCACACCCTCAGAGTAATCAAGTTTTATTTAGAATGAGTAAAATTAAAATTGCTTTAGAGCTCTGACCATGTAGGCCAAGCTTTGCCCGGAGACAGTGTTTACAGCTGAGTGATAAATTAGGATTGTTATCAAGGGGTTGACAGCCTGTTAACTAGAGCAGGCTGGAAATATTGCCATAAGAATTGTTGAACATGGGAAAGCGAATGCTTAATGGTTCCTGTACCAAAATCAAGTTGCTAAATAACAACCAATACAACAAGAGTCACTGTGGTTGGTTTGGGGATGAAGATCTGCTGAGGAGGGTCTGTCACAGTGGACCCTTCCTGACCTGGGAATGGAACCTCCAGACTAGGACAAGGGCTGCATGGGAGTCCAGGCTGATGATCTGCAGAGGTGGTCTGGGAACCAATAATTGGGTTAGTGGATAAGGACGGTTCTAACCTTCACAGTTTTTATGTTCTGAACTATGAGACCCATAATAAAGGCAGGGACTCACACACAGAGAACAAGACAGAAAGCTCTTCTGTTGAGCTGAAACAGATTTCAGATTTCTCTGAAAACAGAACACAGCTCTTGTGAGATTTGGAGAGCTGAGATAAAGTTCCTGCCGTGTTCAGAGAAGGGCTGTCTTTTTCACTCCCTCTTGCAATACGAATTGTCCAACCACATCCCCAAGTGCTGGCCAATGGATGCAGCGAGAAGTCACATATGCACATCACAGCCTGTCCCATAAGAGTTATCCATGCACACTCTAACACACTGTGCCCTGCAGTTCATTTGCCAATTTTCACAGGAGTTGACTTGACCTCCCATTTTCTCTCCTGGTTTCACTTGGTTAAGCTCAACTTCATAGCTGTAGGTACATATGACCCAGGCCTCCATAATCAATCTATTCAACCTGCCAGGCTGCTGAATAATACAGATTCTTAACAAGAAATGCATAAAATGAGTATTGAGACTTGCTAAAAGCAATAAGATGTAAGTCTCCCTAATGTCTGTGCAGATATAAGAATGTCAGGCTGGATCTTAGGAGGTTTCCCTGAGGACAAAGCCTTCTTCACAGTAAAGCCAACATAGTAGAAAGCAAAACTGAGAAATATACAAAGCTTCCCAGTGACAGTCTTTGAACACTCACATCCAACTATTTCTGGTATGAGTTGACACAGATATTCTGGAGAGGATAGGCCAAAATTTTCCTTCTCTGTTAGGAAGTTGGGTTTCTGAGAATCAAAACCAAAGGATTGTTTTGAGCTCTTTTTCTTCAGTTCCTATGACCTGCATCTGCAGGTAGTTAAAGAAGCCCCAGATTAGGGGAGATGGACAGAAAAGGTGCAGGGGGAGGATATCTTCTGTCAGGTATCGCTCCTAGTAACATAAAATTCTTAGCCTCCTACACAGAGAGCGCTCAGTAAGTGCTGCTGACAGCCCATCCACATATCCCATATCATGTAAATAACAGTCAACACAACTCTGATTTCCTACACAACCTCAACACAAAACTTCCTTATAGCTAGCACTTCAAGATACTAGTGTGATTGCAGAAGTGATTAATAATGAAGTCAGGGGCTGGGGATTTAGCTCAATGGTTCCCCCGCCTGCCCTGCAAATGCAAGGTCCTGAGTTCAATCCCCAGTTCCAACAAAACAAAACAAAACAAAAAAAAATTAAGTCAGAAAACCAGGCAATTACTGGAAATATACTTGACAAAGATTGGCATATATATTTTTCTGAGCAAAAGTGAAGCAAACTTATTCAAATAGCAGGAAGAATATCTAATTTTTATTTCAGCTCTGTAGAAAGTAAACAAAATTAGAGTGAAGTATGTGCATGTATAAGCATAAGTATTACCCAGTACAGTAAGATACTTTTATTACTCCTAAGACAGAAGCAACTTGTGTGCAGAGATAGAACACTGAATTTTTATAAAGACAGTAGCACTGAGAAAATCTTCAGTCATGGAATCTTCATTTGGTAATAATCATATCTTATTATTTTGGAATAATTAAAACTGGTAAATCTAGTCCTTCCTCCCTTACTTCCTTCCTTCTCTGAATCCCTCCCTTCCTTTCCTTTTCTTTCTTTTTCTCATGAAAGAAAAATTTATGAAGACTTCAGTCCTCCATGCACTGTGCTGAGACACAAATTAGTCATTGAAATTTAAGGACAAGAAGAGAGAAAAACAGAAAACTGAAAGAGACAAAAATTGAGAATAACAAGTAGTTCAGAGCAGGAAACAAAGAGATGTGTCATGATTAGATAAGAAGGACAAGTTCATCGTGCCCTATGCTGCATGAAGTTAGAGCATATTTAAAGCCAAGAAGTAGAATTTGTGCCAATCTTAAAATGCAGAAGATTGGGATTTTATATTTTTATGTGTAGTGAAGTCATTAGGAAAACTTTCCAGTAAGTAAAAGATATGGTTCTGAAGATGGTGGGGTATCTAGAATGCTATAAGGCTGGGATTCACGTGAAAATATAATGATGATGGTTAAGTTTTCCTGGATCCCTAGATTATTTTGAGTACTGTTATGGGTACTTTTCATATTCTAACTTACACACTCCTCAGGCAAACAAAAGTTACTTAGTCTTATTAATCCTATTTTGTATCACAGGAAACATGGTGCTAAGATTAAAAAAAAAAACAGCTATTCAGTATCATGAAGATTTCAAGTAGTAGTGCTGGGATTCAGGCCCAGGCTCTCTTACTTCAAGGCTGGAAAGAGAATCCCTAATTGTAAGATCTCATTTATTTGAATTAATCTTTACTAGGAAATAAGTGAAGAAATAAGATATAAGATATATATTTGGAGTAACAGTTTTGATTTTCTGATCTTAGGACATAGTGATTGCAAGGTCCAGGGAGAAGAACAAAGGATAATTTTAAGGCATAGTAGTTGGGATATCATTTAGTTTATATCAGAAAGAACCTCAGAATTACAGAGCAATGAGTAACAGTACAGAACACGACTGAGCCAGCAAAGAAGTCTATGACACAATAGGAGCAAAACTGGAAAATGAGATCCAGCAGATCGGAGTGAGACAAGATTATTAATCACTGCACATCAAACCACAGAAGTCTTAGCACCAACTTCCCCACATAATGAAGTGATGGGCCCAGATGGCAGCTACACCCTCAAAGCATAAGGAAGAGCCACACCTAAGGTCCCAGGACATTTTATAGCAAGCAGTAAGACAGAACAGAGCAGGGCTCTGCAGAGTAAGTGGTCACACTTTTCCAGCCACTCTGGAGCCACCCTGTCTATGTAAAGGCCCCACAATGGAGACAGGGCCTGCATGAGAAGAGAGTTGCATCCAAGTATTGCTGCTGCTCCACACAGATGGGCAAAGACACCCAAGGGCATGAACTGCAGCCTCTCCTAACAGAAGTGGCAGTAACTGAGATAGAAGCTATATGCACAGCCACCTTTCAAGGAAAAAGAGTGCTCTCCATATGCTGAATTTCAGATCTTGCAGGATAAATAGAGAGCTACTCTCCCAGGGCCAGTGAGCTAGAGGCGACAACAGACACAGAAATTATCAGTAAGTAGCGAAATTCACAGCAAAGGCAAAGTTGAATAAGACATTTTTTGGTACCCAATTGAATCCATGGGGAAATAAATCCCAATTTCCCTAGCTTCTCCATCTATTTTCTATTTACCTTTAAGGTTCAAGTCAAGCATAATTTTTAGGATGGACCCAGGAACATTAGTTAATATTAAAAACTAACACATGAATTGGCAAATCTGTGAACTAAATAAAACAAAATATGATTTTCTGTGAAATGTCTTACCAGATCATTCTACTCTTTTATCTAAATTCTTGTAGCACTGCTCATTATGGTCCATGTGTATTTCATCTTTTGTAACTCATTTCTCTTGTCTATGTTTTGCTGTTTGGGGAGTTTTTAATGATTGCAGGTACTAAGCAAACTTCTTTGTACTCCCACAGCTTCTAGCATAGGGACTTTCCCAAGATCATCACTAAATAAAGGGCTTCGCTTTGAATCAGGCAGGCAAAAGCATAATACTTATTTGGTGTTTATGTCTATGTACTAAAAGTCAGGAAAATCAAAATAATAGCTGTCATATTTGAACATGTTGTTCATCAACATGTGTCCATCACAACACCTGCCTCATTATATACATTATTTCATTTAATATTATTTAATCCCAGTAGAGCAGAAAGGGTGGCATTATTGTGCCTTTTGCACAGATGATGGAACTGAGATGCAAAGAGAATATGTCATTGGTCTAGAAAAATATGTCATTTCAGTGAATGGCAAAGGAGGGCTCTGTGTCCTTCTATACCCAGCTCCAAAAACCATGTGAAACTCACAGGTACCCTGTTTGCCTTTTCTGTGCTGCTTTTCACTTGAGGAAAGACAGAGCTCTTGTCATCCTGACATCCTGAATCAAGATTTTAAGAAGGCTATGACTTTATAGAATAGCAGTTTTGTAGGCCACAGCCACTGAGCAAACTTCAGGCAGAGACAAAAAGTCTGACAGTGCCGCAGCGTTAGAGAAGTCTCTGAGTTTGCTCCAAGTGCCAGGTCTGTCCAGCTCCTCCCTCATGCGAGATGCTGCTGTATCCACCCTGACAAGGGCACAGGGGCTGCAGCTGACGGAGGCACCTCCACCAATTCTCCCTCCCCTTGACAATCTGAATATTAAGGGTTTACCTAGTTCACGTTTTTATCCATCCATTGTCATTAGTGGTGAATAGTCATCTTAGTTCCCCATCACTGGAAGGCTTTCATCTCAGGCTGTTGCCTGGCAACTTTCTCAGACTGGGGGCCATCGCCATACGGATAAGCGGCTCTGTCTTATCCAAGTGCCTTTGGCACCTCCAAAAGAATCTCAATAACCTGAATTCCTCAAACAAATCACACCAATGTCCAACTTCTCTGTCTATCTGTTTGCATTTTACAAATGATTTGATGTATGCTACTTCCTACTGATAATCATTTATGGTAAACATTAGAATGATTAAAAAATAATGAGGTTGAAAATCCCTAATCATTGTTCACAGAATCCCTGTGAGAAATGCTATGTCCATACTTATCATAGAATAGAAGCTCAGAAAGTTTAAAGAACACACACAAACTTAGACAGAAAATGCCAGCCTTGAGCTTCATTCCCTATCATCTGTGTATAGAAAATTTGTCAGAGAATAACAATGCTTTCCATCATGTTGGGGTTTACAATACAATCTTTCCTCCATATGTGTGACCTGAGTTCATGCTCTTGGCAACCCTGGTGCGGAGGGAAGGTAGGTAGCATTCTTTTGATTTATAGATGAAACCAAGCCTCAAGCTCGTTGTTCTTTTTGGTGCATCACTGCGTGGCTATTCATTCCAGGAACTTCCCCTTTATAGCTATGTCCTTCTTGTCAGAAAAGACATGGCTGTATACAGTTTCAAAGGAATGCAGTAGTAAGAGAAGGCAAAGGGCATCTAGGAGACACAAGAACGAATCAGTAGGAAGACAGTTGCAGTGGGGAGCCTAGGTTACCAAATCCAAGTCTCAAGAAGCAGCATATCAGTTGGTGGTCACTAGAGAAACAGATCTAAGGCAAGATATACAAATATATAAGAATTTACAAGATTGGCTTACAGTGGCCACCCACAGACTCCACTGGGTGTGGAAGAGCGCTGAAGGTCTGTCTGCGGCCTGGGAATCTGAAGGGGCCAGATGAAGGTCTGGAGCTCAGTGCAGTGTCCAGTGCGAGTCCACCTCGGGAGGCTGAAGGGGCTGCAATGGAGAGGATATCCAAGGTAAAGGTGAGGACTGGGGCTTCGCTGAAGAAACAGAAGCAGCCTTCCTTCTTCATTTCCCTTTTGTACCATTCTGGCAAGGGTCTTCCCTGGGGTGGGTCAGCCACACCCAGAACTAGGCTGAGCCATTTAGTTGGATGTTACTTACTCAAGTTGAACAATCCATCAACCATCATAAGCAGCAACTGGGTACCTGACCCCTGGCCTCTGCAAAACCTCTGTGGCATAACCATAGACATCCTGGAAGAGAATTTTGTGGCCAGTCCCTAAGAGAGTGACAGGATAGTCACCATTTGACAGGTTCGAGGCCCGCCTTTGCTCGTTAAGGAAACTTGCGGGGGCTTCCCTGACTCAGCAACATTTTCTTCACCTGGAAAATGGGGAAGCAACAATACCTACATCATGAAGAAGGGGAGGGGTGGAGAGTAAGCATGCAGGTCAGCACACATTCTGCATACACAGTATTTGCCACGGAAGAGAAAAAATGAAGTGAGGACTCGTGCTAATGAGATAGCGAGCCTGTAGGGCTGGCATGGAAGAGAATTAGAGGCTGAACTCTCCCTCCATCTGCTCCCTTCTTCCCACAACTGATTGTGAGCTGAAGGGATCAGCCTGACCCTGCACTGATATTGTCCAGGAGGGTCTGCAAGGCAGTTTCAAAGGAATGAGCTCAGCGGAGGTCCGTGCCATTCGGGTGCAGGGCTGCTGGAGCGAAACACCACCGTGTTTCCGTCCTGGCTGCATTATGTACTCAGCACATGCCCTGCTGAACAGGAGAGGGTGTGCTTATGACGATGCTTGGTGGGAGTCCCAGATCCCGAAATGATCTTGCAAAGCCCATTCCACGGCGGTCCTTGCAGCTGAGCCGCAGATTCTGAGACTGGGAAAATATCAGGACTCAGCCCCTCAGTTTCCACCTAATCCGAACTTTGCTATGGTGATGTCCATGTGCAGGGCCTCCATGTAATCATAGGTGCTAGAAAATTGCCTGGAGAGTGTGCTCAAACTTGCTTCCAGACCCAAATTTAACCATTTAACCTATAAGGCCAGGGTTCCTTTCTTTTGTGCTTATTTAACAGGAAGCATTTGTTCCAGCTAGTAAGATTTGCTTACTGCCAGTAGGTAAATAAATCTACCTTTCAAAATACTATAACCTACCAGCTTCCCTTCTTGGCAACCTCTTTTCATTCCTTTACTCCAGGCAGCCTGTAAGCATGTATCCATCCTGTGATGTACAGTAGGGTTTCCCCCATAAGTGACCCCTCTCTAGCTCACTCTCCTCCCTCTTTATCTCCATGGAATTTTAACTACTCACTGTTATCACAATGTGTTGGCCATAAACAGAGAGAATCATGACATCATAGGCACATATGCATGCATCTTGCCTACCCCTGAGGTCAAAGAAGAGCCATTTTCATTGTCACCTGTTTTATATAGACAGGTACACATAAAGAAAGTGACCAGTATTTGCTGGGTAGAGCATGTACATTGAAAAAAAATAATATTTCTTGGCATTGCAATCAATTTGGCATAGAATTAGTGTTCCAGATAGTGAATAATGATAGCACCTATTGACGAGACCTTCATTATGCCAGGCACTGCTCTACATGTTGTGTAAGGTCTGTCCCATCTTGTGAATGTATTATTTAATTGAATAGAATTGGAGGAATATGAAGGATAAGTAAGTTTTCCAAAGATGAAGCCCTGGCAAGACAGTACAAGGGAGTCTGCTCTCTAGCATCTGAGTTCACTGTGCATGTCCTTAACTGCAGCTCAGTATGTTCTTCAGTATTGGCTGATCCCTGGATCCTTCCAGAGCAACAGTTCTTCACTAGATGAGTTAGGATATTGGTGAGAACATTCACTGGTAATAATACATGGAGAAAAGTTTTTCTCACCTCATGTTCCTGGAACATAACTGGAACTAAATAGAGGATTTCTAGCACAGTTTAGATGCTGTCATAAGTACAGTGAAAGAAAAAGTGGTATCAAATGCATCTATTTTTATATCTGCTCCCACTAGTTTAGCCCCAAATTTCCTTTCCATGATTATGCATGTGCCTTTCTTGCAAAATATGCAAATACCTAAATAACCTAAGTGAACTTCATTTTCCATGGTGGCTCCCTTGGAGCCATAACGGGTCAGCTACAACTGTCTCCAGAGGATGCTTAAACATATATTTTTGTTTTTCATAAATAATTACACTCTTGTGCCCATTTCTTCTATTATCTCCTTAAACAGATGAAGGGAGAGAAAGAAGGAGAAAGGAAGAGATTTAGGGTGATTTTTGCCTTCTACATGCAAGGTACTTCTCCCTCCAAATAAATATTCAAATTCTGAGGACTTTAGGAATCCAGATCTGAGCTTTATTTTTCAATCCCTTGCAGGTTTTTCAGTATTCTTAGCTTATTTGGAATTCAGAATCCCACCTTTAAAAATAGACAAGAAAATAAAGAGAAATATACTTTCTTGGTGTGCTTTGCTGTAGAAGGTTAAAGCTACTGCTCCTGTTGATTAAGGCCAGGAGGAGGAGCTGCCTCACGAAGGTCCATCCACGGGTGCTGCCTGGTGTGGGGTGCAGGGGTAACAAAGACAGAAAGCAATGCCCTGCTGGGAAGAGCACGCCTGCCTCCAGTGTCCTTTCTGTCAGTCCTCTGTGTCAGCTCACAGCCTTGAAACGGAGAACTGAAGAGATCTTCTGACACCAAGGGAAACTAACAAGGTGAGAAGGGAAGAACCACAGAGAGCTGGGCTTCTCTGCAGTCTGATACAGTAGGTTTTGCTTTATTGCCATAGTTCTCTTGTCTCGGAAACAACCAGCTTTATGTCGCCTTCACTTGGTTTTCTTTTTCACTGAGGTTTGTGTCACCCTGTCCTGTACTCTCCATCCACCTTTTGGGCAAAATATTTACTTCTACTCCCTGGACATAGCTTCACCTCTTTTCTGTGTCAATTACTGTACTGGACATGGTGGAATGCACATGGCACAGAACTTGCGTCAGGGTACGGAGCTCACATATTCCAGGAGGAAGCTGTCAGTTTGCAAGCAGTCACACACCGAGACACAAAACATATGAGTTCTTTGTATCTGAAGGGCTTCAAAGAAAAACAAAATAAGCAAGGCAGCTGATTAGGTAAGGTAAACAGGGGGTATTTTTACTTGGGTTGCTTGGGAAAGGTTTCTTTGATAGGGTAACGTTGGAGCTGAAGGAAGTAGGGGCATGAGCCAGGCCAATATTTGGGAGAAGAATATTCTGGGTAGAGAGAACAATAACAACAAAGACACTGGGGAGAGCATACTTGGTGAGCTCGTGGTGGCTGGAGGGGAGAGGGCAAGAGATTAGTCAGAGCAACTGAACAGACACCGATTATAAAGAGGATTTTGGATTTTGTTATGATTGATATGAGAAGCAACCTATGATGTAATGAAGCACCATGAGGAAAGTCAGTTGTGGGGTGAATACTTGCAGATGAAGATGACAATAGTCAGTGCAGCTCTCCCGGACAGAGAGGAGCATGCCATCCAGAGTCACAGAGGTGGAAATATTACAAAGGGATCGCATTTTGAAATTAGTCTCTGCAGCAATTATGACTGTACATGTGATATGAGTGAAAAATAAGAACCAAGAGAGACTATGTAAAGGTGCAAATTTCCAATGATGAATGTCATTATATTGTATACCTAAAATGTACCAATGATTAGAATGAATAATCGATAATGCAAAATAGGAAGAAAAGGTCCAAAGGGGTAAGGGTAATGGGAGGGGCAGGGGAAAGGAAAGAAGGGAAAGGAAAAATGATGAGAAATGGAAAAAATGGAAATAAAGTCTTTGTAAATAGGGAAGGGTGGAGGGCTTGAAGGGAGGGCAGGGGAAGGGGGAAAACATAAGAACCAAGATGCATCATGTAAAGGTACAATTCCCAATGAGAAATGTAATTGTGTTGTATACCTAAAATGTACCAATAAAAAAAATCAAAAAGAAAAAAGAAAAAGTAGAGAATGAAGAGTAATTTTCAAGTTCTGGGCCAAAAAAATTAAAAATGGAACACTGATATGGTCATTTACTGAGAGAGAAAGAATGGCATCAGTGATTATTTGTGCTAATGATTCAAACTTTCATTTTCAAAACTATGAAGTTTAAGGTGCAGTGATATATCTAGGTGGAGATCTGCCCTTTGGTTTCTCAGAATACACTTCAACTATTAAATATTTTTATGTAACAAGGATATATTTGGGACAAATGATGTCTCCCCATCATCCTCAAACAGCATGATCCTGCCCAGAATATCCTAACCTGGCTGCTGGCAACACAAGAGAAGAAGATATTTTCTATATTTCTGTGTCAATACTTTATCACTCTTTGACTCACCACTTGGGACACAATCTGTTTTAGTATCCCTAGACCCAGCCACAAGTTCAATCCTTCTTCAGAAGGAATCCAAGGGTGCAGCATAGAATTTCATTCTTGCCAAGACCTATTGCAGTGACACAGCAAGAATATACAGCCAGAGAAAAACACTTCAACCAGTATCTAGTACTAAACCTGTGTGTGGACGGACTTTCTGAGCTCTGTCTCAAAAGCCCACTCTCCCTCCAGCCCCGAACTGCAGCAGCTTGTATGTGTATCTCCCTCTCAGACATATATACAGAGTCCAGCACTTTATTCAGTGCCTGGTCACATAGGCACAATGACAAGGCATAATCATCAAAACTCTAGGCTACAATCTAGAAGGAAATTGAGGGATTAGTTCCCAGTCAGAAAAATAATCTTAAAACTCAGAGAACTTTACAAAGTCCAAGACCCCAGACTCCAGTCAGGGAACTGTCATGCATGATCAGACTTCACATTCTAACTCTTCCCTGCCTAATTACAGGTTTGGGGTGGGGATCCTGCACGTATTCAGATATAACAAATTGTACAGTGGGATGTGGCATTCTGCAGTTTTGTTTGTTTGTGGCCAATTAGTTTTTCAGGATGTAGAGCTAAGTCTGTA